GGCCCGAGCCGCCGGTCTCGCTGGCAGCCGCCATCCCCCGTGGGCCCCGCTGTGCTTCGCGGGGCGCGGGCGGAGCAGCTGGGCCCCCCTGCCCCGGGCTGCGGTGCCCGGCGGAGGCCAGGGCCGGCGGCTGGCTGCAGTGCTGTCGTTGAGGGGCGATTCCCCGCTGGAATTGGAGAGGGGGTTGTAACCAGCAGCGGCATGGAAACCTCTGCCAGGTCAAGGGACAGTGGGGGTGAACGCGGGGACCAGCGTTGGGGCAGCCCCTGCGCTGGACAGACCGTCCAGCCCCGGGGGTGAAACGGTGTTCATGGGGCTGTGGGTGCACTGGGCAGAGATTGCTTATTTCTCCAGGCCTTCCTGCCTTTCCAGTCTGAAGGGGTTGGAGCTGCCTGGTGCTCCTGGAAAAAATTTTGGCCATGAAATACCAGGTTTAAAGCATAGACAATTTATCCAGGTCTTTTTGGCTGTCTGGATAGCAACCTTCCAGTAGCTGAAAGGGGCCTACAGGGAAGCCAGGGAGGGACTCTTCAACAGGAACTATAGTGACAGGACGAGGAGTAATGGGTACAAACTGAAAGAAGGGAAATTTTGTTTAGATATTGGGAAGAAATTCTTTACTGTGCAGGCAGTAACACTGGAACAGGTTGCCCAGGGAGGTCGTGGATGTCCCAGTCCTGGCAGTGTTCAAGGCCAGGTTAGTAAGGCCTTGGGCAACCTGGTCTAGTGATTGGTATCCCTGCCCATAGCAGGGGGAGTTGAGACTAGATAATCTTCAAAGTCCTTTTCAACCCCTTAACGTTCTATAATCCTGTTACCTACTGCACACAGAGGTCAGTTCCACATTAAAATGTATACAATGACCCTTCATTAGATTGCAGTTTCTCTCAGTGGAATGAACAAGGTTAAGATAATTGCTGCTGGAAGGAGGATCTTCCATCTCCCTTCCCTTGTGTGTGGAACTCTTTTTAGGGCTGATTCAACACACCAGTCTGACAGAAGGCTGGTGGATTGCTCACAGGGGGTCCTGACACAGACCGGGGTCCTTTCCAAGGAAGGGAGATGAGACCTCTCCTGACTAGCTCAATTACTTGTAGAAATGTAGCTTGACTCGGTCAAGTCTTATTTAGAACAGTTACATGCCGTTGCAGGAGACTTGTGATTCAGGAGTTTGTTGTTTTGTTTGAAGCCTGGTGAAATTCTGGTTTTGCTTTCAGCACGCTGCTGGCTGATAAACCCAACTTCTGTGCTGAGAAGCATGCTAAATGAATTTCTCTCTGGAGTGTGGGAAAAAGCTACCGTGGTTGTTTTTGCTTTTATGGTTTGATGTTGTTTGCCATTCTTCTTCCTAATGATAAAACGGTACAAGTTGCTCTTTCTGATGGGTGACATATGTTGGGTTTCTATCCAAAGATGCTTTTGGTCCATGTGCTACAAGTGGGGAATTCCAGGGCCACCTAAGTCTGGGTCAGAAGTTACACAGAGAAATTCCCCGTGGAAAAACTTAAATGTCACTGTAGTTCATCACACAAATACCAGGTTGCTAAGGAATGTTTCAATCCACAGACAACTTACTGTCTGAAATTAATTTCCTAAAGAAGGCAGAAGTTAATCTGTCCAAGCAGTCATACAAATCTGTATGTTTGGTTTGGTATTTCTGCTATTGTAAGGGTGGGGGAAAGTTTGTAGACCTACTCATTTATTTTTTTCTAAATCCAGTGTTTTTAATGATGTTGTATAAAGGTTTTGGAATTCAGTTACATTTATAAAACATAATTATGTAATTTGGTAAGTGGGGTTGAAATGGAACAGGACAGTTTCAGTTGGATCATGAAGCCTTTTTGAGTATGTTCTTTGTATTCTTAGGAGTGTGAAAATCTTCAGTGTTTGTCCTGCAATTTTGATGGAAAGTGTTATAGAAAGCATTTTCTGCATTGGTTTGCAGTTCTTGCTGTCAGGCATGCAAAGCTGCTTTTCCAGCTCCCTAACTGGGAAGTAAAATCCACCCTGGTAAAGGAGATGGACCAGAGCAAATATTTTCTGCCCTGCATTTCCATTTACCAAGAGATGGAAAACTGTCGTTGTAGTTTCGTAGTTATTATCCTCTTAACACGAGCAGAACTGATCTTTGTGCTGCTACTGTGGCTAAAAGCTATGGCTACAAGTCGGAAAGAGAGAGCTGCTCACAAAAAGGAAAGCTCAAGAGTGGAGGGATGAAATTATCACCTTCCTGTCATCCCATTATTTTTAGCACTGGGAAAAAGATGGAAGAGAGACGTTGCTTTGAGAGCATGAGAGGTGCTTCAAAACTACATTCTCCTCACAGAAAATGAGGTTTCTGAATGGCATCTGTGGGCTTACAGGAAACCCATTAGTTAGAGTTATTAGACCTTTTCTCTGGGACATTGTCCCTAGTTGTAGTGGTGGCTGCTTCTACCTCCTGACTTTAGTTCTGAGTAAAAAAGCTGGCAATTTTTCTAAAGTCTCTTTTTTTCCAACAAGCATAGATAATATGTGAACAGGCAAAAGCACATAAGCATGGTTGTCTCAAGCATTCTGACTGTCATGCTGTGACAGGGAAGTTGGGATTGGGAGGGAGAGTCCCTCTGGAGCAGGGCAGCACTATTGTGAGCCAGCTTCCCTTTCATTGCTGGGAGTGTAATCCAGCCTGGAGGCTCATGTTTAGTGTGCCTGCAGCAAGAGAAGAGTCAAGTCCTGGACACCTTACTAAAGGGGGCTCCTGCACCACCGCAGGCCCCCAGCCCCGCTCATTTCCTGAGGGGCTCTCAGGGATCACTGCACCTGTGCCAGCAGCAGCAAGTGGCACAAAAAGCGAGGGGATGTGCACTAGGAAAACTGTAAAGGGAGGGGATCGGTCCCAGGGTTTTGTTCATCCCAGATCTGCACTGTACACAGTGGCAGGACCGATGTGGGATGTAAGGGCTGGTGGTCTTTTTCCTTCATTTTATTTTCCATCTTTACTCTCTCTTGTTCTATCCCAGCCAGTGTGGCAATTGGATTTTACCACTTGCTCTGTACCGAAGTTTGCTGGGGGAGTTGGGAGCTTGGTAAAGTTCACTGTAAGAGTCAAGAGCTGGTTGGCCAACACTTCTTTGACTAAATAGTGGGATAGCTGTCAGAGTTAAGGTGGCCGTGTAATAAAGGGTAAGAGTTCCCTGACACTGGACTGCTGTCTTTCTTCAGCCCACCGAGAATTTCTGCTGAATTTCTGGGTTGTGACAGCCCCTCCTCCTCACTTGAAAAGCATGGGAGGTTTGCTTACACTTCCCAGGAATGGCTTTTACTGTGAAGTTGCACTGGGACTATTGGTCCTTTTATGAAGGCAAGTCAGGACTGACCTCACCTTCTTGAGAGCGAACTTTCCTTGGGTCAGTGGTATTGATTTTGTTGCTCTTCTTGTCCTGTGCAGCTCTCTTCTTGACTCCCACGTTTTCCACTTCATATTTCTTTGAGGGGACAGAAACCTTAGAAATTATGTCAAAACTAATTAAGAGGTCATTCACATGCCTTGATGTCACAGCAGTACTTTGATGCACTTTTCTGTGATCTCTTTCAATTTATAAAAGGAATTTTATTGCATATATATGAATATATGTTGTATAATATGGAAAGAATTTATGCAAGGGCAGCATCTTTCTAATTATAGCTCAAAACTAAGTGTTTGAGAGCTTTGGATGATATGGACTGTCACTTATTTTGGTCTTTATTAGCTATTTGTTTTCTTAGAGCCTGCTGTAAGTTACAAGGTGTCTGCATCTGAAAACTTGGCTTTAGTTGGAGGCAGGGAGAGGGTAGTGCACTGTGTCCCTTCATAGGAAGGATTACACAATAACTATTCTTCCTGTAGGGTTTCTCCTACATTTCCAGAAAGAAGTTACTGAGGCATGAATGCTGTGAGAATGGAATTGGAAATAGAGATTGCAGATGAGTAAAATGGTTAACAGCTTTGTTTCATGATGAATTATCAAGGATTATGGGCAGCTGTCATTTGAAGTACTTTAACTTCATGCTGAATACCTCAATAGTAACACATTCCATTGGTTATTTAAAAGTATTGCAGGAGCAAGAGAAAAGCTAATTCATAAAGTGAGTGGTGACTCTCCTTTGGCCTTGCAAGTCAAGCAAAAAGACACAATGTACTCTGTAGCAGCAGAAATATTGCAGCTAGGCTTTTTCAGTCACTTTTAGTATTGTCTGCAGTACCAGTGCATGGGGTTTGAAACTGGAAGCTTTGGATGAGTGGAGCAAGGAGAAAGTAATGAAATCTTAGCAGGGTGTATTGGCTGGGTATCTTCTGTGCAAATCCCGTTTCTGTGTATTGCATCAGCAAGGAAAGATGTAAGTCTCGCACTTTTACTATGAGTCCATGAGTTATTTTCTTTCAGAATCCTTGCTGGAACTGGCAAGTGTTCTTTTCTAGCATTTCTAGTTGAGAGTCCAAAAAAATTGTTCTGCCTGAGCATTTCACTTCTTGTGCCTGCCATTTGCTGGCCAGATACCACAGCCAAGGGGGACTGGCTGCAAAAACCCAGCTGCAGCTCTGTCTGAAGGGTACTGGAGAAAAAAAAATACATCCTGTTCTCACTGAGACGTGTCTCAGATGGAGATTGGTTTTTGTATTATCTCCTTGAGGGACAAATAAGTTTTGTAAGTTCTGTTACCATCTTTTTTCTCTTTCCTAGGACATGATGGAGCTCCTAGAAGAAGATCTGACCTGCCCCATTTGCTGTAGCCTGTTTGATGATCCTCGTGTCCTGCCCTGTTCACACAATTTCTGCAGAAAGTGTCTAGAAGGAATTCTTGAGGGAAATGTGCGAAATGTGCTTTGGAGGCCATCCCCTTTCAAGTGCCCCACATGCAGGAAGGAGACTCCTGTCACTGGAGTCAACAGCTTGCAGGTCAACTATTCCCTGAAAGGTATCGTGGAGAAGTACAACAAAATCAAAGTAACTCCAAAAATGCCTGTGTGCAAAGTGCACAGCGGACAACCCCTTAACATTTTTTGCCGGACAGACATGCAGCTGATCTGTGGGGTTTGTGCCACCCGTGGCGACCACACAAAGCATGTTTTCTGTTCCATTGAGGAAGCTTATTCCCAGGAGAAGCGGGCTTTTGAAACCTTGTTTCAGGGCTTCGAAACTTGGCGTTGTGGAGATGCCCTCTCACGGCTGGATACCTTAGAGACCAGTAAGAGGAAAGCTCTGCAGATGCTGACGAAAGATTCTGACAAAGTGAAGGAGTTCTTTGAGAAGCTGCAACACACGTTGGAGCAGAAGCGAAATGAGATCCTGTCTGACTTTGAGACCATGAAGCTTGCAGTGATGCAGGCATACGATCCAGAAATCAATAAACTGAACACGATTCTACAAGAGCAGCGGATGGCTTTTAACATTGCGGAGGCCTTCAAAGATGTGTCTGAACCCATTATATTTCTGCAACAGATGCAGGAGTTCAGGGAAAAAATCAAGGTGCTCAAAGAAACCCCTTTACCTTGTTCCACTGTGGACATCAGTCCCACAATGAAGAGCTTTGATACCAGCCAGTGGAATGGAATAAAACTTGTTGATGTGGACAAACTTTCCTTGCCTCAGGAAAGCAACACTTTCAAATTCAAGATTCCCTCTGTCTTTTCACGCAGATTTATAGTGAACTCTCTTATTTTCTTGCTCATTCTTGCTGTCACCAGAATGTCCTTTGTGGAGTCAGTCATTGACAATCTCCAGTGCTGGAAATCTCAGTTCCTTACAATTTGCTTGTCCTATTTGGCAGATACCGTGGAGATAGCAGATCATGCAGTCTTTTACTGGGAACAAATGACAGATGGAGCCTCACTTTTAAGAGAAAAGTGTAAAAACTATACGTTGGTTGTACTGGATAACGTTGCACAGTTTGTGTGCAAATATAAACTGTTGTGAAGTGTCTGCTGGAATATAAGAACTAAGAGAGATCTGGGGAAGAAAGCATGGAACTTCTTAAATTAATTGGTCTTTTCAGACTTCCAGTGAAAACATTCAAAGATTCAAAATGATTCCAAAACATTCATAATGTTCACATAGTTTGAGCACTGCTAAACCAGAAAATGAAATGGAGCTTTGAAAAACACCTTGTGGATTCTTCTTTCAGTGGTGATTATGGGAATATTACTCACTGTAAATCATTTTTCTTACCAAAATATAGGGCCAAACTGTATCTTTAGTTTGATGTTAATGTAACTGTAGAATAAGATAAAAAATTGTAGTTTAAAAGAAGAATTCTAACTGGGAGATCGTTTGGAAAGAGCAAGAGGAGTTGTGATTGAGGTGAGCACTGTGCTGACAGGTTTGCTGAGGACTGCCCTTCCACTGCAAAATGCAGTGTGCATCATTCACATTCTGGAACCAGCTTCTATCTGATGATGTTATTTCTCTCTGAAATAGCTATGTGTTCTGGTTTGATTTTGTGGTTTGTTGTTGTTTTTTTTTTTGTACAACCAAATGTTGTAATTACCCTGTGCATTCAGATAGTGTGTTCTATACAAAAATGTATCTTCAGGGCAAGCATAAATTCTAGAGGTAATGATAAGAGCAAGCTGCAAGACAGTATGTGCTTTGCAGATAGTTCATACTTTGCAGTTTACTTTTCCAACATCAAATTGTTGGGGTAGCTGGGCTGGTTTGTTAGATCCATGTTTCTCTGAAGCCATGCTTTCTTAAAAACTGGCCTTAACATAAAGAACTTAGTGCAGTGAAGGGTGTGCAGGGTTCTGCCACAGGAAGGCAGCTTGGACTCTAGCCCTGCAGAGGTGGCAGGTACAACAGCTGCTCTCCTGTCCCTCTCTGCCTCTCCAGATTGCAATTCCAAAAGCCAGGAAAAGTGATTGGGTGATTCTTGGAACAGGTTGTATGATGCAGCAGGTGTATGGATGTTGGTGGTGTTTGAAGAACCTTGTGCAGGTTCTTCCGCTGTTATTGTATTTTTGTGTATCTCGTTTCAGGAGCTACTTGAATTTTCTGGTTGTACTGACTTGGCCTTACATTTTAAAGGGAACCTTAAGCTTGAGTTCTCTGAAGTGCCCTTCTTTTGGAGCATATGGTACTGAAATGTCTTGCCTGAAGCTCATCTAACCTCTTTTTGCAGTGGTCCTATGAACAGCAGTGTATGGAACGAAAATGTTGAACTGGCATTTCTAGAAAACAAACATAACGTGTGCCATACTTTGGGAATATTTGTTTGCCTCTCTCAAGGTTTCATAAGTTGTGACAGTCAATTGACTGTATTCCAGTAGTCCTTGCGAGCTGTTCATTTCAAAAATAAAACATAAAATGCCAAGAATCAAAGTTTCCAAGCAACCAAACCCAGCAAACAAAACTATTGTACATGATATTTACATCTTTGTTGCCTGGGAATGCTGTTGCTGCTCCACACCTCACTCCAAACACTTGCTAAAAGCACGCAATGGTTCTTGCAGCCGCCTTGCCGTTTAGGAAAGATCAAGTCACAGACATGTAGATCAGAGAACTGCAATTCCTGAGTGGCTGAGGTAGCCATGAGTAGTCGAGAGGTGATTGTTCTGAGTGTGGGAGGTGTGAGGTTTGTAACCCGGGCTTCTACCTTGCAGCAGTTCCCTGAGTCCAGGCTGGCACGGATGGTGAATGACAATGACAGGGAATTTAAACTGGTGAATGGAGAGTTTTTTGTGGACAGAGATGGAGCTTTGTTTAGTTACATCATGGACTTCTTGAGGACTCTCCAGGTGTCCTTACCAGCTGATTTCTCAGACTATCAGAGGCTGCAGAGAGAAGCAGAATTCTATGGACTCTACCCCCTGGCGGACGTCCTGAGCCAAGAACACTTGCTGAAGCCGAAGCCGGAGGTCTTGGAAGTGCATTTTTCTCTCCAAGAAATGCAGGCCTTTTTCCGGATCTTTGGTTCCTGTAGTAGCACCATTGAGGCACTGGCTGAGCAGATCACTGTGTTTACAGGGCAGCAGTCAGGACAGGGCTGGAATAGCCCTTTTCCTTCTCAGAAAACACTCATTCCACTTCCTTTGGAAAGACCCTCTCATCATGATATGGTTTTTCAGTGTGGTACTGAGTATTCTGCTGGTGACCAGTTTGTGGCCAGGTATTGTCCCTAGAGTGACTTCTCATTACAGACGTGTCTTTGTGGCTTCCAGTTCATGAAGTGCACACTATGTGCTAGAAAAGCTCATTTTAAAGAAACTGAAAGGAAAGAAATATGTTTCCTTCTTTCTGTTCAATGTTATCTTTTTCTAGTTCTGAAACACCCAGTTTAATTTGTTACACTGATTTGCCTGTTCTTTAGCTTTCTAAAATACTGTTCTTGATGTTTGTTTATGAGCTCTCTTTGGTTTTTCTCTCTCTCTGCCATTTCCTCCCCACTCACTTTAGAATTTCACAGTATCACCTTCTGGAGAACATAAAAAATGCAGTAAAATGAGGCAAAGTAAAGAAGTAAAGTATTGGGGGTACTTTAAGTACTAAAATATCCAGTAGCTTATGGTGCAAAAGGCTTTTATATGGAAAACAGGGAACAGAGAATGGCAAGAAGGGTTAAAAACTCCAGTGCAACTGAGACATCATTTCAGGGACTGGAAAGCTTTTGTAGAGCGTTTTATAAGGAGGAGGGAGAAGAGTCATTATTAACTTTATGCTTCACAGTGGGTTTTCTTTGACTTCAGAGCCAGGTTCTGTTTTTATTAAGATAACTGTGTATCAGTAATTTTTGTGATAGCATTATTGTATTCTAATGACTACTTAGGTTTTTTAAACTATCTTTTGCTGGATGTCTCTATTGTATGGAGACGTGTTCTTACTGTATAAGAAAATGTTAACCTAATTTGTCCTCTGTGGCTATTAGAACATCTGGAATTTTATGGAAATTTCATTGAAATATTTCCAAAAGGGTTATTCTATTTGAATATATGAACCAACACAGCAGTCTTTTGATTATTCTTTTAAAGAAAATAAAATCTTTCTTTCAGCTTTCTTTGGCTAAGCAAGTAGAATAAAAACTACTTTGCAATTGTGAAATCAGTCGATATATGTGACTTTTATATATATGTGTGCCAAACCTTAACTTTGTGACATATTACTAATTTTAATGGATTAGCAATTGGTTGAGTAGGTTATGGCAACTTAAGTAGTGGGGAAATTATTTCTGATTTTTTCATTTATTTCTTCAGACTTGGTAAAAATTTCGCTCTGCAGATCAATAAAAAAACTTATCTTGAGTAATGAAACAAGTCAAATTTGATTACATTGCCTTGCTGAATTTCTGTCTCCTCTATCTCCTTAATCTTTGTGGTGACACGGACTTTTTTGCCTTTCTTGTGTTTTCCATGAATATTTGGTGTACTTGCCTGTGAACTGTGGAACAGTTTCACCCGTCAGTTTATATATTTTGTAATGGTATTTTTACCTGACTTCTGCTCCTCAGAATGTCTGGATAGATTCTTACACTGTACTTTATATCAAATAAAATCATTTGAGGCCACGTGAAAATGATTTTCATATTTGTTACCACACGACCTGCTGTACAAAGTAATTTGCAATAAATGTCACTGTTTGTAGAGAGAGAGATCCTGTGTGTTGGAGTGATGCTCTTGGGGTGAACATGACTCTGCTGTCCATCATTTACTCTTACCTGAAAAATGCTGCAGCATTGCAGAGCCTGCTGCTCCCTTTTTCTCTGGGGTTGTCACAGATATTTCTTAAGAAAGTAAGTTTTGTGGCAGGGGAGGGTGTGAAAGAGAAGCACTTCTTCCCCAGCACATAAATGGACGAACTGAGAATTACTCTTAATGAAGGAAAGAGTCCAGTTGTCCTTAAAGGAGTAAAATAATATCTGGAACCTTGACTGGTGTAAGCGCAGTGCAGCTGTGCTGATCTATGCTGTCAAGAAGTAGTTAAAGTGTGTTGTAACTGCCTTTTTTTTTCCCTGATTTTAGGTATGTTTCCATAAAGCCTGATAATAGAAAGCTGGTTAATGGTACTAATGTGCTAGGCCTGCTGCTTGACACTTTACTCAAAGATGGATTTCGCCTGATAAGCACCAGGACAGTCACCAGTGAAGAGAAGGTTGAATGCTACACTTTTGAAAGGATGAAGAGGGCAGGAGGCCTTGCCATCATAGTGAACCAAACCCCAGGGAGCTCTGGGGTAACACAGGCAAGGAGAAGCCAAGTGCAAAAAGGGAAATGAAGACTTTTTCTTCCAGCTTTTGAACGTAGGAGAGGGATGTGTCAGCACTAGTGGCCTTTTTTTGGTTTTTTTTTTGTTTGCTTCATCTTGTTTGAAACTGCAGCTATTGAGAGAAGTAACACATTTACTTTCAAGTATTTGGGGAAAATACTGCAATCTTACTTTTTACCGCTCCATCCCCTCTTTAAGTAAAAGAAGCCCAGATTCAACACTGGGTTTGTGGACCAAACATTTCCAAGAATTGTTTTTGCTTTTTCTCTGTGGCTAAAATTTACATAAGGACTTGCCAAGCATCAGCCATTCCTTCTAGGAAATTGTTTTCATGTTCTGTGCTAATCTGCAAGTAGATTTTAAAAACATGGTAATACATGAAGAAATAACATCTTGATGCAACTGTTATCTCAAGAGTTTGGAGATGTGGCTGGAGGAGGAATGCAAACCCCAAGGATTGATTAGTGCTTCCATTAACTGACTCTGGCAGTTGGCTGAGAGCAGTATAAAGGGAACATCCTGAGCTGTGCTGCTGTGTGGCTTTGTGAAAGCCATTGCTGCGGTCTGTGAAATAATGTGTGACTGTGTCTTGCAGAACACTTCTGTCCTCTCTTCCCACTCTGGTGGCATCTGCTCTTTGGTTCTGAGAATTAAATGATAAAGATCTTTGTGAAGAGAAGGTCAGTTAATTTTTAGTGCTTTCACCATAAAAAGGATGAAAATGTGATAAATAGCCCTTCAGATGAAAGAGTTTGTACAGATTCAAACAAAATAGTGCAAAGGATTTTTAAGCACTTGTTAAGTACAACACAGTTGAAGGCTTAGCAGAAGTGGCTTTAAGAGCCTTGGGAATGTTAGTCCTGTACAAAGCTTTGTAAAGATGCCAAAATTAGCTCGGGTACTGAGAGAGGTAAGCTAATGAAGCTTTATAAATTAAGAACCTTTTGTCCTTCCATCAAGGCAGGGAAAGAAGATAGCAGTAACTTCAGGGAGTCGATAGTTGCATCTCAATTTTGTTGCTGGTAAAGCACCATCTTCCCAAGGCTTCGAACAGCCCAGGAGAACCACTTTGGGCTTTCTTGGCTGACCAATTTGATCTGGCTTTTCATTAGTTTTAAAAGGTGAATGCATTACTTTATTTGCAGCATTTGATAATGGGAGTGGGACTCAGCCATCTGTTTCTTGCCCTAAGGAGTTTCAGTGAAATTGATCTTCCCAGACTGGTGGTGCCATTAGTGGACATCTCTTTTCTTTGGCTACTGCTCTGGGGCATTTCAGCTTGATCCAAGTTCAGAAGCTCAGCAGAAACAGTGAAGTCCTCTTTGCTGTTCTAGAGCTGTATGGGTTGAGAATAATGTGATTATGGGACTACATCTCCTAAGCTGCTTACAGGTTATGTAATGTAATAAATGGGAATGTAAGAGTCAATGCTTCCACTTCAAATGGGATTTTTTGGGTCAGTAATGTCAGTATGTTCATATTTGTCTTGAAGTAAGATATTTCTGACAGTGAGAACCATCATTCACTGAAGAACCTCCCCACAGATGTGGTGGAGTCTCCATTGTTAGAAGTTTAGAAGAGGATGCTAAATGATTTCATGGAGGCCCTGTTTCACATGAAAGGCTGTACCAGATGATATTTTCAGTTCCCTTCCAGCCTGGCCTGTTCCATGATTCTGTGGAGACCTGTGAAGGTCTGTGCCAGAAAGTCTGTCATGGGCTTTGAGGTCTGACCACTGTTGGGTGACTGAGCAGACAAGCTGTGTGGGATGACTGTCCCTACAAGTTGTGCTGCAGACAATGCTCCTTGTTTGGAAACTGTAATGTTGATTATTGGTTGAGTCATTGACTGTGGATATTGTAGGTAGAGGGACTAGCCAATTATAATGTGAAGAATGAGACCAAAAAAAACCAAAAAAAAACCCAGGGAAAGTTAAAAAAATAGACCTGAGGCCGTATGTAGACATTATGCCCTAAATGAGCACCAACAGCAGTGATGTAAGCTGAGACAAGTTTCAGAACCCCTCACAGTAACAATTACACAAAGTAGGGACCTAGTTTTCCTTGCTGCAGCACAACTTTGAAAGTTTGGATTCCATTTTTTAATTTTTTTTTTTTTAATAAAGTGAAAGAAAAGAAAAAATACTTCCATTTTTAAAATGCCCTGAAGTTTTTACCTATGCCATGATCCATGTTCCATGTCTTTGGCAAAATGAATGTTTGGTATAGCCATTTCAGTAACACTTTATGATGGACTGAGCATTTTCTGGTTCCCTTCATGGGTTAATTTTTATTTAGCACCAGCATCATTCTGTGGATGCAATATTTGGCTCTGGAAAATATACCCAGTGCAAGTTGCTGTCATGTAAAGAGCCGTATGTGCCTTACCTTGCCCTTGGGTAACAGTGTGTTGTGACTGTGCTTCTTTTGGAAGCGAAGCACATGACCATCAACAAGCTTGGGTTCCCAGAGTTCTTCTAGCATTTATTCTTACTTAGTTCTGAACTGAGAAGTGTCACCTTCTGTCATTTTGTATTCCTGCAGAGAACATGGCTAGGCTCTTACACAATGCTTTCACTTAGTTGTTTTATTTTTTTTTTAACTGGTAGTTCCTTAAGTAAGTTTGATGGCATGTGTGTGAACAACCTGATAGAAATCTGTTGAAAGTGTGTGACTGATATCAGTAGGATACCCATGACTTTAATGGTAGATTAATTGAATAAATTTATTGAAGCTGCTTCTTCAAGAGAAGCACCTTATTTCTTTATACAGAAAAAGGAAGCAGTGATGGTAGAGCTACAGGTGTGTAGCTTCAAGCTACAACTAAATAGCAGTAATTATGGAGGAGCAAGTGAAATTATGTTCCTTCGCAGACAAATTGATATAAAATAGCACTGATTTACTAGGAGGATCTTCAGCTGGCCTCCACCTTGAGAGGTTATTTATGCTACTATGAAGTGTTGCTGAGCCAGGATGGCAATTTTTCTGTGCCCTCTTTGAAGTGGTATGCAGTGTAACCTGCAGGCACCAAGGCAGGAATTTAGAAGTAGTGGCCAATGTTTTTATTGCACCTTCCCTTCTGAAGGGATGAGGAAAGAGCGGACTGTGTGGTGTTGCTCAGCAGAGTTGTTCACACAGAAGGGAACAGCTGTACAAGTGAATTTGGCTGATAGGAACTACAAGTCTGAGTGATTTTGAAAGCTGCTTTGTCAAAACCAGATTATGTGCTAAACCGAGTACTTCCACCCAAACCTTGGCAGGCAATGCAACTCTGGTATCTCACAACACAATCTCTGCTAGACTAGCAGTGTGTTGTAGGTGACTTGGTTGTGCTTTTACATGTAACAGAACCAGAAGCTCTGATTGCTCACATCTAGCTCTATTTTTGATTAAATGGGAATAGGGTTTTGAGACATTTAGACTTCTATTTTCCAATAAAGTAATTTTAATCCTTGACATAATCCACTTCAAGTCATTGCCAACTTTCTCAAGAGAATTCCTTTTTTTCCTGTGAAGATGCAAAATTTGCTGATTTCAGTAAACTTCACTGCTGTATTTGCCTTTTTATTCTTCCCTGGATTCAGGAGAAATATGCAAACTGTTACATTGCTTGTGATGCTCAGTAGGGACTGCCACAGTGCTGGGGCAGCCCCCTCACTCTTTCACAGTGAGCTCTCTATGGCTTTGTAAAAGGCAAGCAGACAGAACCCTAGGGTAAAAAGAAACTGAATGGTGAGGCAGCACCATCATCCTGTCCCACTCACAGGGACTGCAGTTTACATGGCAGAAGATCATCCAAAATGAGGTGATAGTTTGCGGGATTTGCAAAAGGCAGATGATTCAGGAAACCAATGTCTCATTTACTTTACACTTTCTCATCTTGATCACTTTTCCCTCCTTTATAGCTGGGTTTTATCCTGTGTTTCTACATTCAAGACTGTCAAGGGCTTTGCCAGTACAATCTTGTGGTTCCTGTATGTCCCAACAGGATAGAGGTACCACACACTTCTTCCGTCCCCCTGTTCTTGCACCAAGACTTCCTCTTCTAGTGATTGGTGACATTTTTTGTGCTTTTAAAGTAACTTTTTTCCTGCTTCTTTACACACTGGGAAGTCTCTCTTGTGTCATTCTTACTTTCAGGTAAGACACATCATTTATTTACCACTTGAATTGTTCAGTGTCCTGCTGATACCAGGAAGGACAGTCTATTGTGAAATACCTTCTTGTTCTTTGGATATTGATTTCAATGACAGTTCATGAGGGATTCTGTTTCTTTGGGAAGCGCAGTCACTGCATTCTTATGGGTTCTGCAGTCAGCACTCATGTGATTGTATAAATGATTAAGCGTAGATGTCCAAATAAAGCTCTAGAAATTGATACAATAGACTAAGACCGATCTCTTTGCACTGACCATAGTACAGGGAATTTTTCCCCTTTACTAAGTAATTTTGAACCATTTTTCACTTACCCTCATAACTGAATTTCATGGAAGTAGTAGAAGACCCTCCCTACAATGCTGTATATGAGGAATAGCCATAGGGCAAAATGATGCTGGAGTAACTGTATTAGTGATAGTAACTTGTTAATTTTGGAGAAACTTTTCTGTCCAGTGAACTCTTCCCAGTTTCTACCTATTTTGATTTGTTTCCAGCTTTCCAATGCTCAAAAATAACTCAGTCAATCTGACCCGAGAAAGGCTGATGTGCTTTTGTCAGTCTCTTGAGTAGGTAAGTCTCAGGTACATCCAACACAACCTGGGTGACATTTTGTTTTGATCCACAGCTGAAGTCAGTACCAGAAAGCCACCAAAGTGGATCAAAAGACCTGTTTGAGTTGACAATGAAGTGTTCATAACTTTGAATACTTTTTTTTAAAAAAAAAAAAAAATAAAAAAAATAAAAAAAATTGTTCCTAGATTCCTGGAAAGTGTTACTAAATATTCATTGAGAAATAAGCTGGGAATTATCCAAGAAGACGAGGGAGGTTCATTGCCTCTTACTCCTTCCCTCT